CGGCCACCGCCTCTTCCACTTTTTCCCTGCGTGCGTGGGCAACGGCGTGAGGCGGAGAGGCAGGTAGAGCGAGCGAAGAAGAAGAAAAAGGGAGAGAGGAGGAGAAACAGAGAGAAATGCTGCGGGCAGAAGACAGCCAGCAACGAGAGGACGCCCCCCCGCCGCAAGTGCCAAAGGAAAAAAAGAAGAAGAAAAAAAAAAAAAGGCCGCGGCGGCGGAAGGCGGAAGGGCGACGCACACGCGCACACACAAATGCGCGCCCGGCGCGGCGTGTCGGAGGCGAATGCGGCCACACGTGCGGCTCCCACACCGCCTCCGGGCGCCGTCGCCCGATGGCGACGGAGGGGAGACGCTCGTGTGGGAAGGCGAGGCCGCGCCCGCCCCGCAAGCCCCACCGCTGCCTTGCGCCCTCTCCGCCTTTTCCCGCCCCCACGACGCATCTCCCCTCTTTTTTCCCACGCGTTTTTTTTTTGCTTTTAATTGTTCATGTTTGCTGTTTTCGCCTTGTCGCACCAACGAAAAGAGAGGAGGAGGGGGGGGGGTTGAGTTCGCATGCAAAACAAAAAAAACGGAAGGGAGATAAAAAATGTGTCGGTGACTGGCGCAACGAAGAGGCGGCGGCACCGCAACAGGAGAATAAAAATGAGTAAAGATAAAAAGGGAGGGGGGACAACAGAGCCTCTTCTAACCAGTCGGCCCTTCTCCCTCGCCCCTCCCACGTCGAGGCTGTCGCTGTGTGGTGTGGAGTGGAGGGGGAGGGGGCTTGTTGCGCGGGTGTAGCGGCCTCCCTTTTTTGTGTTTCTCTCTCTCTCTCTTGCAGTCCTCCCACCTCATCCCTCTCATCCCCCACCGGGTGAATTCTACTCCCCGTGCCCCGTTTCCATGACGCACGCGCTACCGCGTGCGTGTGCGTGTTCCTGAATGTGGCACCCGTCCCCCGCCCTTTTTTGTCTATCTTTTTTTTTTTGCCCTTTTGTTTTCGTTTTTTTTTTATTTGCTTCCCCCCTCTCGTCATCTTTGCTTCATACTAGCGCCTTGCTTCCGTCTTGCCTGCGCCTCCGCCCTCTTCTCTCGGGCCTCCGCAGGTCCTCTTCCTCCCTCTACCGCCAGCTTCGCCAGGGCGCCGCAGGGCAACGCACGCGCGCCCGCGTCCCGCTTCACTCCCCGCGCGGCCCCTTCCCCTGCAGGACGGGCGCCTCGCCGGGGCTGCTCGCTAGGGCGGCCTGTGCGCCGGGCGCGCGGTGCGGCGTGGGCGGCGCCTGCCGGTTCGGCTCGTCCAGCTTCGTCGGCTGCTGCGGGGCGTCCGGCATGCGTGGCGTGGCCGCTTCCCTCCTCCGCCCTGCTGTTGCTTCTGTGCCCGCCTCGAGGCGCAGCGACGCAGGTCAAAATGCCTGTTGTGGTCTCACCGGGGTGTGGGCGCGCGTGTTCCGCTGACGCCGCTCCGTGGCTCTCTTGCGGCGCCTCCCCAGTTGGCTTGAGCTTCACACACGCGCCCGGAGCGGCGGGGGAAGAGAGAAGAGAGCAGAGAGAAGCGGAGGGGGGTTGGGCAGCGGCGCAGGCAGAGCGGGGAAGCAGAGCAGGCGACGCAAAAACGAGGACACTCATCGCTCGCCCACCGTACACACACAGAGAGACAGAGAGAAAGAAAGAAAGACGCAACCGCATACAACAACGACAACATATATATATATAAAAGAAAAGGAAAAGAAGTACGTGGGCTTCAATCTGCAAAGCAGCACCTCAAGAAAACAAAACGAATACAAAAAAAGGAAGAAAAAAAAAGACCTCGTACACAATGGAGATTTCTCCCCTCCTACGGTTTGCTGCGCGCCAAGTACAAGCGCTTGGAAAGCGCGGTGAGGTGAAGGCGGAGAAGCGGCGCGGTGGCAAATGCAGAAGGCGGAGCATTAAAAAAAAATTCTTTTGGACGGGTGGAGAGTTCGTACAACACTTGCGGAAGGCGGAGGAGGACGTGTGCAGCACGTCACCCCCCATCCCCCCGCCTCTCTCACGCAATGCAATCACACACCGCCTTCCCCCCTCACCCCCTCCCCCCGTTGAGCGGCCACAGAAAGGCGGGCGGCTCCAGCTTTTCCGGAGCTCCCGTTTTCCTTTTTTTTTGTTTTTAGTTTGTCGTTCCTCCGCCTCCCCGCGCACACGCAAAGGCACGCGCCCTCGCATTGCGGCTGCTGCCCGACACGTGCACGCCGTGGAAAACCGCGGCGCCCATCATTCCACGCCCTCCATTTCGCTGCTGCGGTGGGCGGCGCCTCCTCCGTCCCGCCAAACGGAACGAAAAAATGAATGAAAGAAAAAAAAGATGTGGAGGGGAGGAGGGGCCACGTCACGCCTCCACGGCCCCATCCGCACCGCTTCCTCACCGCATGCTCATCTCTCCAACGCTTGTTTGCCCGTTTTTTTTTTGCTACTAATTTATCAGCGAATTTTCTTCGTTGCTGCTTTCGTTTGTTTGTTTTTGTCTTTTGTCTTTTTTTTTGTGCCTCACGGCTTTAGCTTCGTTTTTTGTGTGTTTGCTCGTTTTTGTTACTATTAGTATTATTATTATTGTTTTGTTTTCCTTCTTCGTTTGTGGAGGGCCCAGAAACACAACAAAAAAAACAAAAAGAAAAACAAAAACAAAAACAAAATCACTTCGCGTTATTCCTCCATTACTTGCCTTCGTCCTTTACTGCACTCTACGGGCGGTGCGGCGCCAGCAGCGGCGGCGCAGCGTCGGCGAGGAGGAGTTTTTCTCCGCCTTCACGTACTCCCACCCGTCGCTGCCGGCGCTGCTGGCGACCGTCCAGGCGGAGGCCCACGCCCAGCCGGGGTGGAGCTGAAACTCCGACTTGCGCGGGGCCGCGCGACCGTCGCGGTACTGCCACGGCGGGCAGCCGGCCGGAAGAAAGCGGCGGCCCCAGCCAAGTATCGGCACCTTCGACTCGTACTCGTAGACCTCCACCACCTGCTCACTGCGGGGAGCGTCGTGGGGGGCGGCGGCCCCCGAGGCGGAAGGCCGCTGCGCAGGCGGCGGTGCCACAGTGGCGGCGGCGGCGGCGGCGGCGGCACTCGGGGTCAAAGAAGAACGAGGCGTGGGGTTTGCCGTCGCCTCGCCTCTCTGATTATTCTCCGCGCCAGCGCTGCTGCCACGCGCGCTGGAGGCCACGGTGGGGGAAACCTGCTGCACGAGCCGCACCACGCGCGAGGTCGGCGGTGGTCGCAGCACCGCCACCCACCGTCGCCGCCGCACCCGCGCCGTGGGGACCTTCTCCCGCGTGTAGAGCCCGTAGTACCTCGGGCAGAAGCGCCAGCCCTCAAAGCTCGTGTCGTACAACGCCAGCCTCCACACGTCCGCAGCCACGTGAGCCGTGCATTGGGCCTCCTCCTTCGTGCACGGGTACCACGGTGGGCCGTCGGTGGGGAGGAAGCTGACGCCCTTCCACCGCAGCCCGTTGGGTTCGCCCCGCTCGTACTCGAAGAGGGAAAGCAGAGAGTCGTACTCCGCCACCGCGCCCATCGCGTGGAAGTCCCGCAGCCTGCGCACGCGGCGAAGATCCGGGATGTAGCTGTCGTCGCACAGCTGCGCCGCGGCGCCGGTGAGCTTCGAGACGTCCGAGAGCAGCCCCGCCACCGGGTGCGCGACGACGCCGAGCAGCCCCATGCCGACCCCGCGCACGAGCCCCGTGGTGCCGGACTCCGCGGCGCCCTCCATCGGCCTCGTCACCACCCCCGTGACGCCGCTGGCAATGCCTTCCAGGAGACCGGTGCGCCTGCGCTGCCGTCCGCCGGTGGCGGCGCCCATGAGGTCGGCGCCGGTTTTAGCGAGGTTTGAGACGGCGCCCAGGCCCCCGCCCATCACCTCCGAGACAAGGGCCGAGGAGCCGCTGGCGAAGCCCATGGCGAAGGCCTTGGGGGACGTCGAGAGACCCGCGATGGGCTCCTGGAAGAACTTCATGGCCCCACTGCCAATCCCCGAGACGAGTTTGATGGGCACACCGAGCAGCGGCAGGGACGAGGCGTACTGCAGGAGCAGCCCACGAATCTCCTCGCGGACGCCGTCGACGTAAATCTGCAGCATCCACTTCAGCATAAGGTCTGCGCTGGAGGAGCGCTTCTGCACGGCGATACCAGGCATGGCAACCCGCACATCCTCGCAGGAGCGAACCAGCATGGACACCAGCGCAGCAGTGCGAATCTGCATGTGTTCGCGTATAAAGTCATGGCCGTCCACCTCGCGCTCGAACCAAAGCCGCACCACAAGTGGATTCACCACCATGCGCTCCAGAATCACACGTGTGTTCATCACCCCCACGCTGAGCGGGGCCATGTCAAACAACTCCTCCTCCGTGGGGGAGGTGTGCCGCGGCGGCGTCTCCGTGCCCAGCTGCGCCGCGAAGCCCGCAAGGGCGACAAGCACATTGTCAGAGAAACGCAGCGCCACGGGAACAACGTCCAGGCGGACCTCATCCACGTGCAGAAATGCCTTGGCTGGCACGAGGGTGCGTTCCACGTGCCCGGAGATGGCGTGCGTCTCCGGTGAGCTGCGAATGGCGGCAGCCACCACCTCAAAGATGGGTTTGGCCTCGCTTTGGTTGTCCAGCTGATAATTTTTGATGGAGAAGTCCAGAAGCTCCTTCGTGCCCTGTCGGTTAAAGTGGACGCGCGTGTCCACGATGGATCCGAAGAGCAAATCCCTGTCCATCATCACTAGCGAAACCGTGAGCCGGCCGAGGTTCATCACCACGTCGAGTGGAGACGGCGGCAATGGCTGGTAGGTGTGCAGTGCCCGCTCCGCACCAGCTGCTGCTGCCTCTGCCGCTGCTGCCGTCTGCACAATCTCCAGAATCTGCTGCGCAAACGGCCCAAGGCTAACTCTGTACTCAATGCCAAGCGGGTTGGCGGCCTCCTGCGGCGTCATGCTCCGTTGAAAGTTGAACTCCACAAAAGTTGGGGTCTGTCCCGTGGCCTTGTCGCCCTCCTGCACGGTGGTCTCAGCCCCAGCCTTGGCGGCAGTAGGCGAAGAAGACGAAGTTGCGTCAGCAGGTGCCGTGGCAAAGCAGACACGTGTACGGCTCTCACCGTCCTGCACATCCAAGACGAACGACTGCATGCACCCCGGCTTGACCTGGGCGAGAAGACGGCGTTGCGTGTCGTACAGCTCGAGCGGTCTGCTTGTCCGGTTAATGAGAAGGTAGGGCGGCACCACCGGATGCTGTAGGGTGACGTAGGTGTAGGGGCCCTGCGTGTTCACGGAGACCTCCAGCATGATGTCAGCCCCCGCCTTGTCGTGGGCGTCGCCTAGTCCGTGAACCACCACCAAAGTACTCTTGAGTTCCTCCAAACTCACCGGGTCGCCTCGCACCGGGGCGGAGGCGTTCTGCAGCACAAACGCGTCATACCCCACATCTGGTGTAGAGTAGAGCGTTGAAAAGAATGGTGTGGCGGCGTTTGCCGGCGCCAGCTGCATCATGTCTCTGTTGCACACAAACAAGGATCCCCCACTGGGTGGGGCTGCGTCCGCAGATGACGGCGTCGTTGATGTCCGCGCCGCGGCACGCGCACTGCCGCTACTGCCGCCTCCCACCGGTGTCGCGGTCGTGGTGGAGGCTGCCCTTAGCCGCGGCTTTTTCAACGCCTGCGCAATGTAAAGCGGCTGTGGGGTGCGGTTGATGACGACCCAGCGCGGCACGATGGTGACAAAGCAGGTGCCGTACATGTCCACCTCCGTCAGGTAGACGAGGTGGTACACGCTGCAGCTCCCCCCGCGCGAGGTGGCGGCGGCGGTGTCCATCAGCGTAATCAGCCCGCGACCCTGCACGTGCAGCGGCACGCCAGAGGCCAGCATCTGACCCATGCGCACATTCACAAAAAATGCATTCGCATCGCTTATGCTTGGGGCGGCGGCGTATGCACTTTTCATCTGCTTCGGCAGCACCGCGAAGTTGGTCACTGCCCGCGACACCAGCCCCCCTGAGCTCTTGGACTCCGCCACCTGCAACTCCAGCGGGGTGAAGTTAACGAGGCTGTACGGAGTGCCGAGCAGGATGGTGGCTTCAACGCACTGCACCGTGATGCGCATCTCCTTTGCCTCCTTAGAGGGGCCCGTCGTGAGCCTCACCGGCGTCAGCCCACGCGCGCAGGAGATGCCGCGCTGCGTCCTGTACGTCACGGCCGCGTCACCGGCAACCTGGGACAGCTGCTGCAGTTCGAGGGTAATCACCACTTCATCAAGGCCCACCTCGCCAAGGCCGACCTCCAGCTTCTGCGTCGTGCCCACCACCGCGCAGTAGATCACCTCCTTCTTCCTTGACCCCGTCCCGCCAATGGTGAAAAAGACGTCGTAGGGGAGGCAGTTGTAGATGCAGAGCTGGGGCTCAATGGAGACGATGAAGGTTGGAATCCCCGCGTGCACCCCCCCTTGCTCCTCCCGCATCCGAAAGAGGAAGTGCTTGCTGGGTTTTTTGCTCCCCTGGCAGACGAGCGTGACGGCGAAGCCGCCCAGCAGCATGCGCAGGGTGGGAGTCACGCCACTCTGCGTCGTCACGGCGGCCGCGTACTCCTCGCCGTCGAAGGTGCGCACGGGGCGCAGGCACAGCTTCTCATCCAGCGAGAAGTTGGGCTGGAAGTAAAGCCGCTCCTGCGGGCGCAACGTCGGCATCCCACCAGTCACCTCTACGTTGGTGCTGCTGTTGTTCTCAAAGCAGAGGATGACGTTGCTGTGGTGCACGGGGAAGCATTGGAGGTGCACCACGCGGTGCAGGCGGAAGGACTGCTCGCGGCGGGAGAGCTCCACCCGCACCTCCACCAGCATCTCATTCCCGCGCACGCACAGCGGCGACTTGGCGCAGTTGATTGTGACGCCGCTTCTCGCCCCCGCGCCGGTGCGCCGCAAAAACACATTCCGCGAGGTGGTCTGAAACTCCAGCTTCCCCCCGCACGGCCCCACGGTCCCGCCGTCAACCTCCAGCGACTCGGTGAAGTGGTTTACCACCACGACAAGGGCGTAGACGTGGTTGGAGGAGGGGGACCCGAGGGCGGGGGCCGACGTGATAGCGCCCCGCACGGACGCCAACGCCACGTCAGCCGGCCCCTGCGACGGCGCCTCCTCCGCGATCTTGCGAAACTTCTTGCCGAGCTGCTTTTGCAGCGCCGAGTTGGGGGAGAAGTCTGCGGCGAGCTGCAAGAGCAACTTCATGTTGTGGGGCGAGAAGACGTAATCAACGTGGTCCAGCCTGATCTTGTACGTCGACGACGCCAGGTTCCCGCTCAGGTTCCCCTCGAGGCGCTCCACCAGCGGCTCCCAGACGGCCGCGTGGTGGTTTAGGTTGAACATCTGCAGCTTCACCTGCAGATGAAAGTCCAGGTCGGAGGCCACGACCAGCCGGAGGCCGTTTACCGCGCGCAGCTGCAGCATACCCCCATCGCTGCCCAGGAAGAGCAGGTCCACCAACTGCACCTCAAAGTTCATCTCCGTCGCGGGCAAAGCCTGGCGTCCGGTGCAACAGCGGTAGCAGAAGACGCCGGCGGCGTCGGTGGAGGCGCCCAAGCAGGCGCGGGTGCCGCCGCAGTAGCGACACTCCCCGGCGGCTGGCAACGCCACCAGGGGGCGCAGCTCCTCATCCTCGAGCTCCACCTGCGGTGGGCGCCGCTGCACCGCGGGCTCCCCAAGAAGGACAATCATGGAATCTTTACCAAACTCCACCAATGAACGCAAAAGCGCCATGCGTAGACACATCTCTAGTCCGCTTAGGCTTACAGCAACACAGACGGTGTCGGCCCCCGCCACGCTTACAACCATGTTCGTTGGCAACAGCGTGGTCTCTTGTTCTGCCGAGGTGCGCACATCCTTGAGGCGCATGTTCCCTGAGCGTTGCATTAGCACGCCATTCTCTGTCTTCTGCGAGTACAGGAGGGAGGCGGCCATGTTTAGCGTGAGCGTCAGCTCCTCCACCTCCTCGGACACCATTTGAATACCGAGCTCCTTGCACTGCAGTGACACAATCGTCCTCACCTCGTCCCCCATCACAGCTTGCGCAGGAATGGGTACTGGCGCGGCATGCTGCGCCAGGATTGGGGCCGCGCTCATGGGGGACAACGGCCCGGATTGCGACGGCGGCCTGGAGGGGGCGAGTGGGGAGGAGACGGTATTCTTGCCCCCGTGGGGGTCTGTGGTACCTTTGCTGCGTCGCCTGGAGGTCGGCTTGAGCCCCTGTGCGGGGGCTCGCTCGCAGTATGGGCGTTTCTCCACAACGCATGAGTCCGTCGTGAGAAGCGACGCGTTAAAGCCGAAGCTGACAAACGAACTCACCGTGTACATGCCGGGCACCACCACGCTACCATTCGTGATTGTCAGCTGACAGTGATCGTCCAAGGCAATTTGGGCGCTTGGGGGGGAGGAGAGGAACAGTTTGTGCTGGTTCAAGTCCAGCGTGTAGGAGCCCCGTGTCTTGTCTGCCGTGTTGAGAATGTGGTAGCCGTCTAGCACCAGGTCCGCGTCCAAGACGTGCACGTCGGTGGTTAGCCTGCAAACTGGGATGGGCAAAAGAGGCGCACGCAGAACCTTGGTGCAGAAAGGCCCGTAGAGCATCTCCCTGGTGTCTACTAGCGTTACCGGGGCCAGTGAGAGCTGCAGGCAGTCCAGGGTGACGTCTGTATTCGTCTCCGACACACGCGCCGCGGACGTCGTTTGCACCAGCACCGTGGAGGTTACTTGGGCCCTTCGCATCATCAATAACTGGAGGAACGCATCGGAGGCACTGGCGCCGCGGGCGCGATGCCGCAGCTCAAACTTCCCCAGTGCGGCGGTGGCGGTGGTGGTGGCGTTACCCGCGGGGTTCGTGGCGTACGCGGCCTCCAGGTCCTCCATGCCGAGCTGAAACACGCCGCCGATGTCCACCTCAAGTCGCCGCATATGCGCCTTGACCGAGAGCGAGTCGCCGCTCTCCACGGCGGAGGTGGTGGACGTCACCGTGTCCGCAGAGGCCGGGGAGGCAGTCACGGCGTTGCCCAACTGCTGCGGCGCCAAGGCGGCAGGCGTAGGCTTCTTTTTCCCCGGCACCGTCGGCGGGAGCGACGCGGAGGCGGGCGTGGCCCCGCCGGGGGCGCCCGACACGCACTCCGGACACCCGCCCCCTGCCGCCTGCAACGCTGAGGCGGGTGGGCGAGGCGCGTGCTCCGCGGGGACGCCGCCTGACGGGCTCGAGTACTTCATGGCCGCCATGAAGTCCATCAGGTGGTCCAACTGCTCCTGCGTCACGTGTGCGACGAGTGTCGGGAAGGCGACGACGACGCTGGTCGTGTCCGACGCAGGCAGCGCCGCGGCCTGGGCGGCGGGGGCCGCCGTCCCAATCCCCCGTGTGACACTGACTTCCAAGGCGGCCTTGTGCGCAAAGGTTGGGGCCTCAAGCACGTTGAATGACATTCGCTGGATGTTCAGGCGGAAGACCTCGGCGTAGCTCTCGCTCTGCGGTGCGGCGTCCTCTGCGTGGAGGCGGCAAATCTCATTCCAGATGCGCAAATCGCCCGGGAACAGCACCATCGTCTTGGCGGAGCTGGCGGCGTCCACGAAGGTGACCGAGGGGCTATGGAGCTGCAGCTCAACCTGCGTCAGCTCCTGCCGCTGCTGCACCGTCTGCGCCGTCTTGTCGGCGACGTAGTCGTACGCCTTCTCGCGGTTGACGTCCGAGATGTGCTCCTTGACGTCCGAGAGCAGCTGCAGCAGCGCCGAGGCCACCTCCGGCACAAGCACCAACGCGAGGGAGAAGATTTCGCAGCGCATCTGCCGCGCGTACGAGGGCACCGCCTCCCTGCCCTCGACGTCGTTCTGCGGCGCGGACGTGAACGCAAACTCCATCACCCGCGACGGCGCGGCGGCGGGCTCCCCCGCCCCTGTCGCCCCCTCAAGGAGGGGCCGGAGCAGCTCCGGGTAAAGCGTGTGCGCCGAGAAGAGATCCCGCACAACGGCCCACCCGATGGATGCCGTGAGACGCGTGGAGGTGTCGACGTGCGCCTCCCACTCCACGGCGGAGTCCTTCAGCTCGGCGACGCAGACGTCGCGGCCGCCCAGAACCGCAACGGCAGAGCAGTGGTTCAGCGACACAAGCACCCGACTAGCGAGAGTCGTGGAGGCAGCAGCAGCACCAGCCGCCGCCGCACCTCCTTCGCTGGGCAGGCAAAGTTCGCCCCCTGCATTGGCGTCCTGCAGCGGCGGCGGAAACTGCACAGAGAGCACGGTATTAAGCAGGCTTCCCAGGGCCTTTGGAATGAGCGTCAACTTCATATCCGGCAGTGCGACGTGGGTGGCCTTCTCCGCGCTCGACAGGCGGACCGTGAGCGTCTTGTCCCCGAGGGACTCCGCCAGGTGGCGGTTGGTGAAGTGCTCCAGCATGGTGAAGGCGTCCACCGTCAGCCGCACCTCGCCGCAGGGGGCCACCTCCACGTGAATCCCGCTGAGAGTGGCGGTGTGAGCGTTGATGCCGACGACGTCGTGAATCGCGAGGACGACGCCCTCCGCGTGAAACTGAATGGTGCGCACGGGGGCCACCTCCGCGTGCGGGGCTCCCCCTTCGAACTTCACCTCTTCGCCCGGCGGTGGTGGTGGTGGTGGTGCCGCGTCACTGCGGGTGGGGACAGGCGCCAGGAGGTTGCGCTGCAGCACCCACAGCAGCTTCTCCAGCTCCTCGCGGTGGAGCAGCGCCGTGGTCTTGTCCAGGACGACGCTCACCTCCTCCCGTCCGTCCTTCAGCGCGTACGAGAGCTGCAGCGAGGACTTCTCGAGCATGTCGGGAATAGCAACTTCCGTCACCTTCATCGCGACGGTGCAGCTCCCGCTGCGCTTGTCCAGCTGCACCGTCGAGCGCATCACCCCAAGTTGGGCCTCGATGCTGCGGGACCTGTTCGCGAGGTCCTGTGCGTCGCCGGCAAGAATAATGCGGGGCTGGCGCCAGAGCAGGTAGAGTGAGAGGGCGCCATTCTGAACCATCTGCTGCGCCGCGCGCGCCAGCCACTCGCGCCGCTCACGCATCACGCCGAGGTTGGAGATCTTCGCAATGGGCTGGTCCGGCCGGGTGCAGTACTCCACCAGCGGCACGAGCAGCGGCATCGAGCAGAGCACGGTGAGCTGCCCAATGGCGACGGTGACCTTCTGCCGCGCCGCCTCCGCGTCAAAGGTGCCGGAGAGGGAGAGAATGTCGCCCCCGCCGCCCTCCGCTGCCTCAGCGTCGGCGGGCCCGGGAGGCGCCGGGGCTGCGAGTGGGACGCCGTCATTGGAGGAGCGCACGAACTCGTCCTGCAGGGCGCCCAGGCCGGCGACGTCGGTCTGCCTGTAGAGAATTCGCTCCGCGGAGGCCGCGTGGCTCACCGCCAGGTCCTGCATCCGCACCGCCACTTTGGTGGTGCTGGCGAGCGAAAGCACGTCGACAAACAGGGAGGTGATCTCCGCCTCAATGAACTCCTCGCGTGAGGTCGTCAGGAACGGCACATTCACCGCCCGGGTTCTCACCAGGCAGTGAAAGCACCCCCCGGCAGCGGGGGCATTCGCAGCCTCAACGGCATCCCCCGCGACGGGCGACGTTGACGGTGAGGAGAACTCCTTCTCCCACTGCGTCGCCCGCATCGTCACGGGCTGCAGCGCGTTCATGACGGCCTCGTTGCAGACAAAGTCGTGGACCGCGAGCCACTGGTCCGACACGGCGAAGCGCTTCAGCGTGAAATCGACCACCAGCGTGGGGACCTCAAGCAGCTCCACGGGGTTCTCCGCCGTGGCGTCCTCGGTGCCCGACACCCCGCTACTCAGCAGCTCCCACGTGGACCGCTCCGCGTTTATCGTCACGCTACTGCGCATGCCGAAGTTCTTCTGCAGGATGTCGCAGGAAGTCAAAATGTTGCGCATCTCAACGTTGCTTTCCCCGCAGAGCAGCATGGGGGCACGGTGGGTCTCCTCAAAGACGTCGTGCAGCTCCAGACTCTTCCACCGCAGCGTCACATCATTTCCCGGCGCAAAGAGCCGAAACACAAGCGCGTTGCCCTCCACGTGGAACCGCACCTGGTTGCTTGGCGTATCAAGCAGGTCCAGGCACACCTTACTCGCCCGCCAGACAACGTGCACCTCACGACCGATGTTCTCCTTGGCGACGTGCGCGGGGGGAACAGGTGGCGGCGGCGGCGGCGGCGGCGGCGGAAGCGGAAGCGGCGGAAGCGTTGAAACCGACGCCGCCGCAACAAGAAAGGCCTCCGGGCCCCGCTGCATCATGTGTGACGTCGACAAGGGCGGGGAGGAGAGAGAGAGCTGGGAGGACGGCATCTGCGGCGGCAGAAGCGACGCCGAGGCCGCCGTCGACGACGGCGGTGACGCGCGTGCCAGGTTGCCGCTTGCGAGCCGGCAAAGCTGGACAATGTTGGCCTCCGTGATCTGCAGCGTGACGTCCTCGCCCCGCAGGTCGACGTAAAGTGGCTCGTCGGAGAGCGGGTCGAGCGGGGCCTTCACGGACATGTCCAGCGTGGCGGTCGGCATCAGGGTGTGTGGCTCCTCCTGCGCTCCGCCCGCGTTGGAGGCTGCCGCGGCCGCCGCCTCGTCAGGGGGCGCATGCAGCAGCCGGATCGCGCGCAGTGAGATGTCCATGGACTGCCTGCCCTCCGCCGACAGCAAACTGCTCTGCACGACGACGTGGTCGACGCTGAGCTGAAAGTGTTCGTTGCTCGTCGTGTGGGCGTCGATGGGGAGAATAAAGTCAAGATCCCGCGTGAACACCCGCACGCTCGTCAGCAGCGTCGGTGGCTTCACCGCCGGCGCCGCCACAACGACGCGGCCGTCGTACCGCGGCCGGCTTCCCAGCTTCGTCACCCTGGCGAAGGGGCCTGCGCTGAAGTACTGCATTACGGTCATGAGGCTGCAGGCGTCGAGCAGCAGCGTGCTGGAGCCCACCTCAATCTCCACAAAGCTGGAGAAGCGCAGCTCAGCCGCGTTGACCAGGTAGCGCTTGCCTTTGCCGTCCGTCTCAAAGATGGGCACCACCGGAAGGCTGGTGCGGTAGGCAAAGTTAATGTGCTGGTGCGATTCCTGGCGGGCAGGGTGCGTGTCCGCGGCGGCGCCCTCATCGTGCTGCTGCTCCTGCTCCTGCTGCGGCGGCAGCATGGCCGGTATCGGGCTCCGCGCCTCTGGGGGTTTGTACTGCAGAATGGTGCGATGCGAGGCGGCGATGTCGTGCGCCTCCGAGAGGGCAAAGGACATCTTCTCGACCCCGCCACTCACCTCCATCGTCTCGCGGTTCTGCTTAAGGGAAAGCGTCACCTCGCTGAAGCAGGCGTGGGCGAAGGGGCAATCCTCCTCCTCCTCCTCCTCGTCGTCGTCGTCGTCAGCCACGTCCCCCGCCTCTCCGGTCGTTGCCTCGCCCTTGCCGGCCGCCGCGCCCGCGCCACGTCGCCGCGCAGCCCGCTTCTTGCGTCGATCCATGAACTCCACCACCGCCGTCCCCGCAATGTGTAGGGAAAGGTGCGCCACCTGCGCGTCCTGCGTGCTGTGCAGCTCCTCCACGAGGCTGAGCTGCTGCGCCTGCTCGCTCGCGCCACGGATGGCGGCGTGACCAGGCGGCAGTCCGCCACCCGCGACGTCTCGCAGCGCGTGGGGGGAGGAGCAGTTAGTCTCCCCCGCCGGCAGCACACTTGGCGCCGTGGCGAGGAGGTTGACGATGTCCATCAGCGTCTCAAGGAGCTGGATGCAGGGGGTGCCAAAGCGAAACCGCAGCGAAGGCTCCAGCTCCACCTTCACCCTTACAGGGGCATCGGGCGACGTCTCCACGCCGCAGCGGATGACGGCGGCACTAAGAATAAGTTCGTCAGGCTTCTTAGCGTCACGGCAATACGGCTGCTCAAGAATCACGCTGACGCGCTTTTGCACCGTGCGCATGTGCAGCGTCACCTCGGCCGCACTGAAGGCCATCGTGAACCGTGGCCTCCGCATCGGCCGCTGCGTCGCAGGCTCGTCTTCGTAGAGGAGAATCCCAAGTTGCTTGATCCACAGGTGCAGGCGCACGTAGGGGAGGTCCTCCACTGGCTTCCCCAACTGCGACAAGGAGGGCGGGGTGTCGTCGCCCTCCGCCTCCCCGCCGAGGCGGGCGCGCCGCAGCGTGCCGGCGGCGTGGGCGAGGGAGTACGTCGCGTCGAGGGCGGTGAGGGTCAACGGCGGGTTCTCTCCGCCTGTTAGCGTTGCTGGCGGCGGCGGGGCCGCCAGCTGCTCATCCGCGTATGGCGAATCACTCGCCTGCAGGTAGAGCATCCAGCTCTCCACCATGCTGGACAAGACGTGGGCCTGGCTGACGGAGCAGGCCACGCAGAGGACCGGCACCTCCATGCGAACGATAAATCGCTCCCGATTATCCGTGGCGTCGCCAATGCGCTGCAGAACTTTGGCGGTGAAGGCGACCTCCGGCAGGAGCATGAAACCTGTGCCCGGCCGCTCCAACGACATCCCAATCGGGGCAAGCTCCACGTAGAAGTTTGAAAAGGTGGCGCTGCTGGAGTAGTACATCAGCTCCTCGTTGACGTCGTCGAGTGTCGTGGTCGCCAGGCGTTGCTGCTTCTCCGTCTCGGTGAGGGGCTGGGTCTCAAACTTGACGTGGCCAAGTGACACCGCCAGCGCCGGCTCCTCCACAGAGCCCCGTAGCGTCCTCGGCACAATGATGTACGGCGCCGCCGCGTCCACGCTGATGCTGAAGCTCTTCGAGTGGGCCATGGCCTCACGCAGCTCGGAGGAGGCCGTCTGCCCCACCGTAGCGGCGAGGGACTTGGTGCTCTGCACCAGCGACGTCAGCTCCAGGCCCCGCGGAACCTGGAAGAAGCGGGTGATGTTGTCAATGATCGACGGGTCCGCCACAATGCGCAGCGGCAGCAGACGGAGATCCAAGGCGAAGTCCAGGTGGGTGTCTTCCGGCTGCTCCTGCCGCTGGACCTCAAGAGGGTTGAAGGCGACGCTGCACTCCAGCAGTGGGACCCCTTGCGGCTTCGGCGAGTAGGTTGCCGGCAACGACGCCGCCGACCGGGGCCCCGAGTCCGCCTTTGCTCCCGCCTCCGGCACTGCAGGAGTGGGCGGGAGGGGAACGCCCTCCACGAGTTCCGGCAGCCTTGCCAGGAAGGCGGTGTCCTGCAGCGGGTTCGACAGAGTCAGGTTCTCTGTGATGAAGCGAAGCTGCACGGAGTTGGCCGCGTTGAATTTCTTAAGCTGCGTCTCCACAGAGTGCAGCCGCAGCGTCACGTCCCCCACCTTCTCCAGGCCCAGCTGCAGAACAAACATGGGGAGCTCAAACTGGGCGTCAAGCCAGCAGTAGGATTTCGGCAGCGCTAGCGCTTCCACCGCGGTGGCCTCTGCCCCCTCCGCGTCGTTCGGGCCAATGCCGTAGGAGCGCTCAAGCTCCTCAAAGGCGAGCTCCTCCTCCTCCACGTCCTGCGGCGTCTTTGGCCCCCGGCGCATCCACCCGAACCACCCTGTGCTTTCCTTTGCAAATTTTGACTGCGCCTCTGCCTTTTTGGCCTCGTTGTCCTTCCGCTTCAGCTGAATGGCGTTGGCAAGCTGCGCGTAGACGTACTTGCGCCCAGCGATCATGTCCGGGACGGTCATAAATCGTGTAATGAAGCGATAGGCGCGCTGCTTGTCGGCAGACATCTCCGCCTTGCGTACGACGTCGCGGTAGAGGACGTGGTAGTCGGCGACGCAGAGCTCCGAGACGCGCTGCAGCAGCCGCTCCCGACGCGGTGCCCCGGCAATGGCCTGCACCGCGCGAATGGCGTAGCGCCACCAGACGGCGGCGTGGCCCCGGACGGGCACCGCGGGCCGGCGCGGAAACAGTTCCACCACCTCGGTCCAGTTACTCAGCAGCGACACGGTGCGCATGAGGGACACGTACTGCGCCCGGTTAAACTTCGCGGTGACGGCCTCCAACTTCATGCGTGCCGTCACGTACGGGTCGCGGAGGAGGTCCTTGATGAACTGCTTGAAGACCAGGTTCACATCCACGCGGCCCATGACGGGGCCGAGGAGGGTGGACCTCGCCACTTCCCCCGCCTCCACCCGCCCCCGCATCGCCGCGTGCCACACCGTCAGGTCCGCCTTGTTTGAGATGAAGTAGTCCTGCGGCGCCAGGTCGTAGCGAAGCGGGTCATCGCAGTAGAACTGCATCCCGGTGAACTCCAGCCGCTTGCACGTGCGGGAGAGGCCGGCGGGGTCGACAAACTTCGCCTCCCCGGTGGCGCCGTCGACGGTGAGCAGCTGCACCCCGCCAAGGACAACGCCCATGACGGTGCGGGTGGACTCGTCCTCGTACCGCACGTGCACGCTCCGCACCTTCACTACGATGTTGTTCACTACGAGCTCCCCGAGGCGGGAGAAGTAGCCGCCCTTCGCCCCTGCCGCGGCGGGCGCGCCGGGCGACGCCAGCGACGCAGCCCCCTCCCCGGCGTCCGCCCCGAAGGACGCGACGTTGCTGCTACTCGCGGCACTCCCTGCAGCGCCGGAAAAAGAGGCGGTGGTGGCGACGCCTTCTCTCGCTGCCGCCGTCGCCGCCGCGTCCCGCAGGCGTCTGCGTTCCGCCTCAAACTGTTCCAGCTCGCGTGCCTTGTGCGCGGCCTGGGCGTCCAGCTTGGCCGCCTTGCTCAGCACCGCCTCCCGGCTCTCCGTGTTTCCACGCAGACAAATAAACAGCTCGTCCACCTCCACCACCACCGGCTTCGAGCGCAGCTGCGTAAAGGGGACCACGATGTTCACCTGCTTGCATATCCCCCGCTGCAGCGTCAGAGGCAGGCAGCCCCCCGTCGTCGTCGGCGTGGGAGGAGAGGAGGTAGAAGCGGAAGCGGTGGGGGCATTACTGTCTGCATCCCCCTGCAGTAGCGCGTCGAGGAGGCTTGGCTTCAGGACAAGATCATTGAGCGACGCCTTGCCACTCCAGATGTCCACTTTGAGTTGCTTTGCGTCAATGTTCTCCGCGTACTGGGAGAAGTACGGCACAAGAATGGCGCTCAGGTACTTCTCAAGCATCCCGGCGCTCAACTAAAAGGGTGTGCGTGTGTGTACGCCTACTTCTTTCTTGCACCCACCCCCGCTCACTTTTAGTTGGGCCGAGCTGTGACTGACGCACGCACGCACGCACGCAGTCCCCGCAGTCTCCTCTCGGTTGTCACCGACTGTGTGTGCTCGGCCCTCTTTTCTTCTCTTATATTTCTTCCGGTAACCCCCCTGCCCTGCGTGTGTGTGTGTGTGTGTGTGTGTGTGTGTGT